ACGAAATTTTCGCGTTTCTTAATACTTTACTTAGGTTTTGGAAAGCATTATTCGATATTCCAATTTGTCTTCGGATCTCGGAGTCGCATTTCAAACAATACCTAGATTTTTAAAATGTTTTACCTGCTTCATTTTGACGTCTCCAGTTTATAGTTCGCATCATAGGTTGTTCCATTTGCTGACAACCATATATCCTTTCTTCTTGGAATTCATGCTTAGTCCTTTCTTCACGCTTTCCTTTCCTACCTTCAGCTAGGACTTCTAATTCTCTTAGAATTGCCTCACTGTAAAGCTAAATAAGTCTGGTAAGAAGACACATCCTTGTCTATTTTTGTGTATTTACTGAATGCATTTTCTTGCCCCATCCAGGCGGTTTGTTTCCAGTATGAATTCTGGATTATTTAGACTAATGTTCTCATCTTAACTGTTAAAGTAGCAACATTTTAGTCTTTGAAACTTCATACAGAAATCAGACGTCTCTCGTAAATGGTATCCTTCTGGGAATTATTATTATTATGCACTTAACTCTTCCAGCTTACCATCAGTATGGCTGATGCTAACCACTCTGGCTCACATTTTCCGCTGACATGGAGTTATTATATTGAATCAATTGTCAGGTCTAATACAAGGGAAATTGGTTCACTGTGCCGTGCCAGACCATTTTTCTTGTCAGAACCTATCTTGCACATTTATAAAGCTACCACTTGTCCATGCACTGAATATTTCTACCGTATCTAGTTTGGTACCTCCACTATATACATCGAGATTCTTGACAAAATTTAAAGAACGGTCTATCATGTAATCGATCCTGACCTGACATCTCGACTTCAGTCACTTACTGACGTGACATAGCTTCCTTCTGTCTTTTCGATAAATATTTCCATGGCAACTGTTCTGATGAACTTTTTTCCTTAATGCTTTCACTGCATGAATTTAAGCATGCTGCTAGATTGGCAACTAGGTCTGTTGAACTAGCTAATATTTTCTTTTCTCGTACTTCTCGCACGTGGAATTCCCTTCCGATTTCTTTCTTCCATGATAACTACAATCTTCAAAAATTTAAATACAATGCCAATCGCCAGTTTTTCTTCGTGAATCCATTCTTTATTGTCTTTTCCCTCACTTCTCAATGGTCTTCTCATTCTCTTTCACTCTCGGTACCCCCACCCCCGCCCTTTGCATTTTAGTGGCATTATCGCCTTGCTTGGGGGAGGGGGGTGAAATCATAAAAAAAAAAAAACACAAGTGACTATAATCATTATTCGGCAGTCGTACAATCCTGATACTCGTGAGACCCATGCAGAAAGGGAAGAGTTGGTTTTATCTATTTGATAGACCAGCGGATGGTTCCTTTTGAAGTCGTATTTTCTAAGCGGCATCCACTTTAACCGAAAAGGAATGGGACATGAAGGAATTTTTGGAAATCAAGTGGCAACAAAACCGGAAATAGGGTATATCCGGGTGCTGCTCTATAATAAGTCATACTTGGTATTAGAGGGAATCAGTGGTATAGCTAGGGGTGGGGGTAGCTTATGGTCCGTCCCGGGCGTAACTGGAAGAAGTACTGGTCCATAGTTTCCATTTCATATTGCCAGAGATGAGTAGATTGGTGAGGAGTTGTCCCAAGTATAACCTATGTACATATTCAAACGAGCAGGCAAAGCCCTGAATAAAACTCCTATATTATAATATGGGAAACAGGCTTCATGTTTCTCAATGTAGCACTTATTTTTCATTTTATTACTAAGCCGTCGGCCCATGGTCAACTCCCAGTCGCGGCGCGAAGCTGTAAGGTTTCTTCTACCGGCGTTTGGGGTTGACTCTTTGTCGCTGCCACCAGCCTGTGTCCCGATCGTTCGGTGGTCGTCGCTACTCGGCGAAATCCCCCGGTCAGGATATCAATATGTGACAGCCGTCCAGGGTCGAATCCAGTGGTTACGGCACCAATATGTGCCACCAGGGTCGAGTTCTGGTCGTCGATGTTAACGGCTTCACCAGTTATACAAATTCAATGCCAACTCTATCGTTCCCATCTCACTTGCAATGTCTGGTTACTGGAATAACTGCCTTGATTTCAAATCTAACCTACCCACGTTGTGACTTTGATCTTAGGTAGACAGATCAATAAGGCGTCGGGTCGTAGTGTCAGCTGAGTCCAAATTGAAGGTGACATTGCACAAACGCAAAGAAAAAAAATAAATGAAAGAAAAACCCAAAAGGTTCAAGTATATTAAGAAATAACAATTCAACTTTATCCTTCCGTTGTATACAGGAGCGTGTTTTTCTCCCAGTCCGTTTCTTACGAAATAAGACACTGCTATGCGTCAAAGCAAGTTGATATCGTAAGTTTTTTAAGTGCTGGCTTAACTTCGTTCGTCAGTATAACGTGCTGTTGGTAGTATCGGCGAAGTTGGAGGTCATAGAATCTCTCGGTCAGCTTCTGCGAGGCAACACCCTGGTTCAAAACCAGCTCAACTCCAACTGCAACTACTCATCATAACTGAGCGACCCATCGACGGTCGTTTATATGGGTACCGACCAAAACCCGGTGTGTGGGCCCGACGCGGCCTGGGTTCTCGGTAATCTCTATTTCTAACAAGAAATCTCTTTGTTATCAGGACAGGAAAATTGATTATTTCCCATTTTTGGAAAATTAACCACATCCCATTTCGGGGGAGGGGGTCTCCATCGTTCGTGAGGGAAGGTCGGAGGAGAGCTATCCTCCTAAACTCTTTCTCTCTCACATTGATATCTCATACCAATCCTTTCAGTCGGAGTTAACATCTCCGTCTTTCTCATCCATTCACCTCCGCCTATCACCATGCTACCATATGACCAATGATCTCTCGGCAGTGCGGGTGTGGCTAAGCTGGCCTTCTTAAAATTATAATCTAGAATTTTTGTTTACAAAATTTTTACCAATTAAAATTTTTTTATCACATGTCCTCTTTCTTGGGCCAACCAAAAGTCACTTATCCAGCATCATTAATCACTGTCACAGTTTGCCCATCTGGTTCTTTACGCCAAGTTATTTTATCATGTAATCCTTGACTTGTTAAGGAATTAAATTCTTTTATCCCGTCAAATCTCAATTCTCCACTATTTTCTGGAGATTGCCAAAAGTTTACAATTGCCACATTGCCATTCAATGTCTTAGCGTCTGTTCGCTAAGTACATGATAACAATCCTCTCACCTATATCGAGACAATGCCAAAATTTTATAATTGCTACATTGCTTCTCTTCGCCTATATCCAAAAAGAAAAAAAAAATTAAACATAATCTTGGAAAGATAATTAACATTGATTCTCACTGCCTGCATCGGTACATGTTTTGGCCGATAATTCTATATTTGCCTATCTCTCTTGGCGATACATAAATTAACTCGACAGGACCTCACACACAGCTCTCTCCGCGGGCTTCTTGTAAACAAATTAGAATCTTTCTTTTAACCTCGATCAGTTTATCTTTCGTTATAGCTTTTTTTCCACTTTAAGAATGTCTATTTTCTGTTTTAATTTCTATGATTAATTAGCCAATTACCATAGCTAAATAGTGTCACAACCTTGTGAACATGTAGCAGATCCTGTCTCAGTTTTTGGTGTGCAACGGTCAATGGAAAATTTTATGCGAGGGTTGAGTTGTATGTTTACACAACACCCTTCTTCCAGTGTCTTTTATTTTAACTTTGGAATCTTAAAAGCAAAATACAGTCAACAGGTAAAAATTAGTTGGGTTTATACTTGAGACAAAAAGCAGACATTGGCCATATTTATACTTGAGTAGAGACTTTGCTTAACTCTGTTGATCATACGAGAAGTGGTGTTTTCACAAAATAATGAGAGATAAAACAAGTTATTATCATAAAATATCTTTATTCTCTGAATCGTGCAATTGTGAAAGACTTTTGTTCTCGATAAATTTCTTTTTCGTTCATTCATTCATTCTTCATCACAATAAATGAATTCATGGAATCATAGAAATTACAAATAAAACACCCCTCAACAACTCCAAGAGAAAGTTAAAAAAAAATTAGGATGAATATACAGTCGAAACATTTTTCATGATTCATAAAAAACTGAAAAAAAAAAAAAAAAGTGCAATCCAATTTCCAAATCCGACAATCCAGTAAATAAGGATTTTTCTCCAATTTGTAATCCATCATTTGGATTTCCCTAAGCTCAACCCTTAAAAAACCCTACCAACAAATCAATGGTACACACAAACATTACATAAGCTGACCAAGGATAGCAGACCATATCATGCTGGTTAGAACTCTGACGACCCGAAATTGAGTTGACATGTAATCTGACAGTTTATCTTTGCTCCAATTTTAAGATGAGAGCTAAAAAATGCATGAAGACAGTATGGTTGTGAGAATTTTTTTTATATACAAGGCCACAATAGCCACTCAAGTTAGAGGGTTAAGAAACATAGTTTACAGGGATGTGTGGGAAAGATAATGGTTAACTCTAGATTTATACAGGTTAACATTCTTGTGATCATGAAAGCATCCTGTTGAGAGTTGGTTCCACTAGGCAGTGGTTTGTGGGGAAAAGCTGCTCAAGTGGAACTTCCATCTCTCAATGAAATACAAAGGGAATGACAGTAGTTAACTACAATGACTTTAAGATGGCACGGTCAAATTTTCTTTGATTCGGCACTAGTTGTGATTGATCCCTGATTCTTAACCATTTTAATATTCCTAAAAGTCCTTGGGTTAAGTGATTTATTTTTTGACAGCTTATCAACTTTTTGCAGACTATTTAAATGCAGAAAATATCTTTTTTGTAAGAATTTTGTTTTTGAGATAATAATGGTTTAATGATACAAGTCCTACTAATTAACTCATAGCTGGGAGCGGGGGAGAAGTAGTGGATTCATACTTTTCTCAATGCTATTTGCATACAGGTGAATATAACGAACCCAACTGGAATTGGAACTCAGCACTCTGATTTCCAATCCTGAGTCGTTATATAGATACAGAATGCATACATCCAAGCTTACAGCATCTGGTATTCCCAAGCAGCCACCCATCTAGGTACTGACCAGACATGATATTGCTTAACTTTGGTGATTGTACGAGAGCTGGTGTTTCATCATAACCAAAGAGACCTTGATGGTTGTACTTGCAATGAGGCGCCTTGCTTTGAACGCCTTTAAGGATTAAAGTTCAGCCCAAACTTGAAGTGGATATATGATTCATGGCTATAGTTCATTCCTTGTCTGACTCCAGAAAGTAACTGACCTCTTCTGCCATGCTTTATCTTTAAAAGATTCAGATGAGACCAAAAACAGAGTATTGCTGTTATATTTAGTCTGGAGCTAACCAACCCTCTCTTTCCAACCTTGACAGAGTTCAAAAGTGTCTGTGTGGCCTTATGGGTGACTAGCAGTAGAGCCCGGTGTTGCCTGGGGATGTAACAGTAAGAGATAGATCAAGTATCGACCATCATAAAGACTGAAAAATAAAATTGACAAAGATTATTGTTTAAGGTTGACGGACACGCATGTCTTACTTAGTTTTTTTTTTGTGTTTTGTTTTTTTTTACGAATTGGTCAAACCCAAACTCAAACAAAAACATTGTTTTCAATCGTTATGAGTCTACCGATTGAATAGAATTTTATTATAAACAATTGTCTTGTAAATGGAATTTTTAAAGCATTCTGAATGTAAAAATAAAGAAAAAAGTATGCAAGACAATAAGAAACACTACCTGCCAAAAAAAAAGTGAAGTTTTGTTGAAATCGGTTGAAAAATGTAGGAAATCTGATCCCATATATAAATGAACACACACACACACACACACACAAACAACCTGGGTTTTATAATAAGTATAACTCGATATGAGTTGTCCCCCTTTCATTCTGGTGACTTAATCGTGTTTTCAAATTGATTTCATGCAAAAACAATTGTGTTTTTCCAATTTTTAGGGCTGTCAGAACCACCACAATGTAATTTTACGTAATCCTGTGAAGTTTTGTTGAAATCGATTGGAAAATGTAGGAAATCTGATCCAATATATAAACGTACAGACACACACACACACAACCTGGGTTTTATAATAAGTATGATTAATTATTCTTCACTCTACAAGCCCCTTCTCATACATGAAACATTGCAAGCCTCTCACTGCTTCATCACTATTTCCATGGCAAATGTTCAGACCAGCTACATTCCTTACTTCCATATGAAAATCTCAATCAGATGAAGCTATTTAAGAACATAACTTGATGGTCAATACAATGCAAAACCAGTGAGAATTTTTTCTACCTGGCACTTAAATCTCACTATGTATGCACGTGCAATGCCTATGATTGGTGAAGAGATTTATATACTCTGCTAAATTTTTTTATCTATGAGCTTGAGACATGGCCAGGGATTTTATGTTCGCCAGTGAAACATGTGGGAATTTTGTCTGACAGGTGACTAAAAAGTTGTGAAGAAGCATGGCTACCAAGACTCTAGAATAAATGGCAAAAATCATCCTTTGATTAAATATAACAGAAGAAAAGTTCTAAACTGATGGAGATTAAACTACCAGTCTAGGGTCAAATATTATCTATCCTACATATCCTCATAATCTGCACTTAATTCCTCTTCTTACATCCATACAAAAACTTCATTCAGGAAACCTACACCTTGTTGCCAATTCTTGAGACAAATAGGTAACATCAGAAAGAGACAGTTGAAAGGACGCTTCACCGATCACTACAATCTTAACCTCTTCTAACCTAGGGTCAAATGTTATCTATCCTACATATCCTCATAATCTGCACTTCCTCCATTTATGCCCATACAACAATCCCATTCAGTAACACTTGACACTGTGTGACTCTTGGCTCTTGTATTCAGTGAACGTAAGTGTTGTATCCTTAAAAGGCTACAGACAATATATATATATATATATATATATATAATTATATATATATATATATATATATATATATATATATATATATATATATACATGTTTTCCATAAAAGCTGTCTGCGTGCAATCTGTGGAGTTAAGTTTCAAGATAGGACATCTAACGTAGACCTGTTTAACAGGTGTAATATTGGAGGAATCGAGACTTTTATCATACAGACTCAGTTACGGTGGACTGGTAATGTCTTGAGAATGTCTGATGACAGGATACCCAAGATCCTAATGTACAGCCAGTTAGATCAGGGCTACAGAAATGTAGGACGCCCATGGCTAAGATACAAAGACAAGCTGAAAAGCAACTTGTCAGCAGTTAATATATCACATAACACCCTTGAGCGCTCAGATTTGGAGCAGGTAGAATGGAGATCAACGTGTTTTAGTGGACTCAGCAATTTTCAATCTGCTTGTCTGAATCATCTTCAAGAAACGAGAGCAGGATCTAAAAGGTCAGCCAATCTAACATTGATCTCATCTCACAATCCTCACTCTTGCTCCATATATGGCCTCCTTTGTAAATCACTAGCGGGTCTTAAATGCCACTTAAAATTATTGCACAAAATTTCATAATGGA